GTCCCGCTTTAGTATTCGTTTAATGAAATGTTCCCAGGTTTCCATTAGTGGATATTGCTGAAGTTATGTTGTTCCGAAAATTCCTCTGGGTTGCCCTCACTCTTAATTGCATTTGAGCAATTTCATTTCAGTGACTTGAAGCAGCTAAAGTATTCGCCGAAGCATGATGGCCTATACACTAAACATAAACATAAACCTTTTAGCTGTAGCACCCTTTAGGTGCCTAGCTGTCATGCTACCCCAAGGAGGCATGATGGCTGGGTACTTCCAGGTTGTCCAATTTCCAGACCGACGAGGTCGAGATGTCGAAGTCGGGTTCGAACCACGGTTAGTAAATTGGCGTCTTAACCACCGAGCCATCTCTCCCCCTCATGGAAAATATGCGTATAAATCTTGGTCAGTGGTGCGGTGATCGCTCGTGCTGGTAAAACGAGTGTTGTACCTATCTGCAGTCCTATGAGGACCATTCCTTTGCTATTGATGCGCGGTTTGTATCGTCAGGGTCCACCTTCGGGTCCCCTCCCCTGAAATTCTGTCCTAGTCTTCCCAGCTTTAGTGAAAACCGTAACATCGAAACGGCTGTTCTCTGGAGGCTAGAATCTTAAAAAGGGTATCAGTTTTTACGGTCCAGCACTACAAGCCGTGCTGATTAGGCCATGTATTTCGCATGCCGAATAACCGTCTGTCACCTGTTTTCCATACTCAGTTCGGCGTAGCGCAAGCAGAGAGGTGACCAGCCCCTGACCTGTCAGAGAGGTATGAAAGAGATTACGAAAAGTCTGGGTACTGTCGGTGCAAATCGCCTTCCAAGATGGGGACCGCGTGATCTCCACTGTGCCTGGTTGAAGACGCTACTAGATATGGTTGATAATCGAGTTCAGTAGCGTTCTTACTGTTAGTTTGTATCCAGATTGCCCGAATGGATGCGTGGAGGTGTAGGCCACAAGTGATGTAAGTTAGCAAACGTAATTCGAGCCTCTGAGATTCTTGCACTAACTTCATCAGACATTTCTGTCAGAGCTAATACAATCACCGAGGTATGTAAAATTTCACACAAATTCCAGTGATTTTCCTGGAATTGTAAGGGGTATGTTCAAATAATGCACTTTATGGAGCAGATCATCGGGATCAAAAACACGATGAAGCTTGAGCAGGGATGTTTACTCGGAAACTTCGGTATAGGGCTCCATATTCACCATTCACGTTTCTGTCAAAAGCTGACAATCCGGATTGCAATTAACAAGTGGCCAACTGGATTCTTCGAATTATTCTAACCAATGACCAGAAGTCCTTTGCTGAATATCGGAGAACCGTTGTGGTCGTTTTTTTCACTGGCAAGCGGCCTCCGAACGAATCACGTAGAACAGTCTATAGTCACTTCCAGCATTCTTCACTTCTTCCACTTCTTCAGACTGATCCACCAGCTTCCTGGTCTCAGTTTCACCCGACGTCCGATAATGCATCCAGTTGAGTTTTTTACGACTAGAAGGAATCTGTCGCTGAATCTCAAGGAATGACACCTTTCTGTCAGAGATCCAACGCTCTGAAGACTTCGGCTGGGTTTTATCGTCGGTGGAAGTCCTAGCGTCACGTACAGCTTCGGATATTTCGCAGCAGGGATAGTAGGCGTTGGGAAGTAGGTTCTGATGCATTTGTTTGACTTCGGAGTCCACGAGCTTCTCGATGGTCGAACGGTGTGTACATGTTTTGCATAGACCAGGAAAGCAGCAACAGACAATTACATGATCGGAGTCAATGTAAACACTCCAGAAGGAGTGACCCTCGCCCCTGTCAGCTGATGCTAATGCGGTTGATTTGGATCCGGTGCTGGTGGACACTATATACACTACGACTTTCGCTTTTCACGAACTTGGCAGTGCACGGCAATGCTATGTGATAATCACATACCGGCAGTGTGCGCTCTCCGTTGTCCATACATCTCATGCCCAACCCAAGCTGACCAGTCAACATAGCCTCAGCTGCGCCAAGCCTGCCTACCCAAGTGTTCACATCACCAGCAAGCATAGCGATGTTTGAGCTTCCATCCTTTTGTTAAAGAACACCTAAAGGCTCGTAGATACTGCCTTTTGTGGTCGACTGGGTTTAATCAGAGACGATAAACATGAGATAATGTATCTCTCTCTTTCGAGACTCATTCACAGCTGTTGCCACATGAACCTCCCAGAGGTGGCTTTCAACAGGTGCTCTTGTCCGGCGGCTCAACACAATAAAGGTGTATCCAGCTGCTACTGCTGCGCAACCGGAAGGGAGAAAGACAGGCGGGACTTTTACGGTACTCGCTTCCTGAGCTGTTTCTGACAAACAGCAAGCACCAATACAGAGAAAAGCCAATGTACGAGGCACAGTAGGTTATTTTCCCGCTCGTTTCGGAGTGAAAACGACAAAAGCAGTCAATTAGACCGGTTTTCGAGGCCCGAAGACTAGCCTCGAGGTGTTGAGGTTTAAAGACGGACGCTCAGAAACTGCGGCTATGTGATGCGAAGCGAACAAGATCTTCAGTCCTAGTGATGGGGCCTGCAGAAACAGCATTCACATTGGTGTGGGGTAAAGGGAAGATGCGTGAAAGTATAGAAAGGAAAGTTTCAAAAGCAGCGTGTTTTCGCTTACCCGCCCTTCTGTGTGCAGCAAGTAAGATGACCTGGCTGATTCCACCACTCGATGACCGGTGTGGCATGACGACGGTTTCAGTCATATGTTCATGTTTTTTGCGGCCTGGTATACTGCCGTCGCTCCCATACGTAGACAGGAACCTGCCTCTTTCGTCCCACCGACAATTGTTTGGTTGACCGACGCGTTACCTACACCACACCAAGTTCCAGAACGCAGTTGCCGGACAGAACTACATTCTTTCTTTGGTATCCCCTTTAGCTTTCTGTTGTCCTTACTTTCTGTAATTAAACTTTCAATACCAGGCTCAATATTTCTCGGTTTTTCATAGCTGTGCTTCATTTATACATTATTTATTTCCACATTCTGGTCGTTACATATTCCTAACAAACTCAATATCCATCACCTTTTAAGGATTTTTTTGACTATGGGTCCCCTTTCCGCTGCAAACTGCGATTTAATGGCGTCCAGTTTTGTTTTACCCATGATGGAAAAATCAGGACGATAAATTTTGAGGATTTTCCTTTACGAAATTCGTTTTTTCCTCGAACGACAGGTAAATGAGTGAAGTGACGGTGCGATCCACTCTTGGGATTGAGATTTTAAGCCTACTAATCAAACAACTCCCGAATTACAGACCTTGTTGATATTTCCACAATCCCTGGCTCGCCCACTACCACGTATGTGCTGCTTCACTACTTCAGCTCGGTTCATTTAATGATATAACGCAGTGCAGCAAGCTGGGTCAAGGAACGTGTTTCATTTTTTTCTCACTCTGACTCGGAAACTAGTCTGTACTCTCCAAGGGTGAATCTTCCGAATGCAGACGGAATCAGGCCAGATTTCCCAGCCTCACTGATGTACAATATGAACGAAACCTGATTGAGCCTTTGGCACACAGGGTCCGTAAATTTTGCACTGAGGACGCCATTGAAGGTCGACTACGAATTTCCTCCAGTCCCAAAATCGCCTGTGTACATGAACTTCCATTAGAGGGGCAATGAGCCTTCCGAAACTATTACACGAAATCCAGTACCCACCGTAGAATTATTTTGCATCTTAGGATTCACTTCACTAGAAACTGTCCGCTCAATACCAACCAGCACACGGTTCTGCTTTCATTATACTTTCCACGTGCTACTATGGGTCATATATGCAATTTGGTGCGTTTGTCAGAGAATGGCTGTGCATTTGTCATCCTCCACAAAGTCAAACATGATTTGTGCGATCGTGACTTATATATCCGGCACGATAACCGGGTCAGTCCGAATGAACTTGATTTATCGAGTGCAATTCAATAGTTCCAAATTCATCTCTGTCAAAGTACTGAAACTATTGCTGTCAGGTTGCGTCACGCGGAGTCACCTCTCTTTGATCAACTAGCTAATGTGACCAAATCCGTATTTTTCACCCCTCCAGACTGAATTTTCGCGCTCTCGCCCACTATCTTCTTCATATTTCTAACTATTTGCTAGATCAGATCGCAAGGAAGACCACTGATCTCCAAACTATCTGCCGTCAAACAACCTGAGTGTATTCGTCAGTACGAACTACGAGTTTTGTAGCAAAGCTCTTGTTGTCTCTTCAATGGCCGTAGTAGATCCTGTCAACAGATCATGCTGGAAATGGCTGTGTAGAAAGAGGCGAGCGGATCTTCCGAGAGTAATACGGGCCTATTTGGTCACAACTCCGGTTCTGTTTTGAAAAAGGTACGACCGAACTCCTCCTGTTGATAGTTCAGCCTGTCGATTGCCGCACGCTGATAGTGGTGCTCCTCAAGCAGGTTTCCGTCGTAACATGATGCGCCTGTACAAAACTGTCTTTATACCGATTGGATTATGCGATTGATTAATCGCTAATGCATCATGGTATTTCAGCAGTTGATTCGTTGATGGACTAGATACCATGTTACTGCTTTAACTCCATATTCATTCACTTTTACCCATTCATTGCCACTCCAAGATTAGCCTAAATGCAAGATTAACGGTGTGTAGGAGTTTGAATGCCAACCTTTGTCATTCATCCTCAGACCTACCGTTTCTGTGTTCGACACTCTAGTTCTTTATGGCCGGCTTGGGGGCTATTTTTGCCTGGCATAGAGATACTATCGTCTTTACTAATCGACACGAGACCCACATGGCACGGGTGAGGATACCACATATTATTCTTGATGAGTGTGTAGCATTGTTGTCGCTTCTCTCCATATAGGAGATGGCTGAAACGAAATAGGATTAATTACTGTGTTGGTGATGGAAATATAAGCTAAAAATTCCCTTTAATCCACATGATTTGATACTTTGATGCTCTTGTTCATTCAGGAAACGGTACAGGCTGTTAGATGATCCTCAAGGGTTGTGTCCTTGGGCCAAAACATGTGTGCACTTCCTTGCAATCCATTAATGCTGCCATCGGTGAGGATACTGGAGACCGGCACCAACCAAGAATTACGCAACCTTGTCAAGGAAGTTGACTTGGTGCGTGTTAGAGATGCGGACAACAACACGTTGTTACATCACGCTTGCTTGCTGGGCAATGTTGAAGCCGTACGGTTGCTGTTAGATGCAGGATTACACCCGAATGTGGGAAATGTCGATGGCCACACAGCTTTGTGTGATGCGGCTTTGAATGGATCAACGGAGGTCATTTCCCTTCTTCTCAATCACGGCGTTGATGTTAACCCTTCTTCCTACTGGGGATCACCTTTAATGTATGCCACCAAAAACGGTATGTTTAGTATATTACCTGTCATTATGTTGGTCACTCAGGGCATATTGATGCCATGCGACTGCTAATAAAAGCGGGAGCTGCAGTCAATGCACCGGATCGGTCTGGATTTTGTCCTCTGCACATTGCAGTCCGAAAAAAGTTTTATGCCGGAGTCCAATTACTCCTGATGGGAGGTGAGTGATAAATGCGATTTGGCTTCACTTTATGTGATCAGAATTCCTTAGCAGCGTTATGGGGTGCGTTCTAGCATGGCTATCTTGATAATTTATGAAACTTCTTTTTTATTTTTTTGGGTAGTTTGCCCATCCAAGGGGTATGTTCTGATAAAGAAACAAGTTTCTTGAATGTTCCTTACCCGACTTTGCGGTAGCAAGTTATGTATATTCCAATGCACACTAAGACAGCACTCTATGCCTTTTGTAGTTAATCTAGTGTACAGCTCGAGATGGCCCAGTAATTGACACGCGAACAGCGACATGCAAGGAGCTCCATGTTTTCATTCATGAACACCGTGTTGATTTTATGAAAGCGATCTCTGACAGGTTTCTTGGCTTGTGGTGCTACAAGAGAACTTTGACTATTGTGTGAATGTTCGGAAACATTCAGTGGCTCTTCCACAAGATAATGTATAACTCCGGTCCTTGGTCTTCACTTTGTCATTCTTTGTCATCATACACGTCTGAGCTTTAAAAACACCTTGCAGGAATAACAGTAACTTCGTTTCCGGCCTGTTTGCTGTGGGGTGTAGATGGTCCGAGGTATGTGAAATTTCGCACCCATTGTTGTACTGCTTTCCTCATCATTGACTGTCGTTCAGGAATGTCTAGGGCCTCTGGGACTTGATCTGAAAGCAGGTAAGCCTAACATCCACCCATATCTCGTTATTTTACTGCTTAACTCGTGCACCGTGGGTTTTGCCTTGGTCCTACCTCACAACCAGTGAGTCATGCTCGCCAATAGTTTCTTTAAGGATGAAACCGCCGAGCCATTCCGCCTAGCATTCTTTTTTGCCGCTGCACGTTGAACCTCACCTTGGGAGTACACTTACTACAAAACTAAATGGCAGCTGCGTTCTTGGAACACAGCTTCTATAAATTTTGTCTCCGGAGCAGTTTCAAGGACGTCTATTTATCAGGTTTTGTCCCAAATCCCTGACCGGAAAATGGTTGATAGGTAATATGGTCAACTGAATTTTCGAACTCGAAAGAAAGGGACAGTTTGACGGGAAACTCACGTGGAACCCAACTGAATCTCTCTCTCTTCATTTTCCTTAGTCGGGAAAGTGTGGTCTTTGTAGAGAGCAAGCGTGCATCCGTATTTATTTCGGATCTATAGAAAAATCGTGCGATCAGTGCGTATTAACGGTTATCTATGTGTGGTAGAGTAAATAAATGAAGAGTACATACAATTGAGTAAGACGAATAATTGCGTCGTAAGGAAATCTGTTGCTGTATGAAGACCACTACCATAGGACGATCACGTATAGGGCTCCTTACCGATGGTCTCTATATGGGGGACGAGTATACTTTATTTTAGTCTTAAAAATACTTCCCAAAATTGACCAAAGTACCCTTTTACTGCAGTAACGTCTTTATAACCATTCTGTCTTACACACACCATGCTCCACCAACCCTTTGAAAGCACCAAAATAGCCTTAAGATGTTTTTCTCTGGAATCCTTTAGACGCTGATCCCAACTGTCCGGCTCGCCTGACTACCCCCCTCCATCTGGCCGCCGAAATGAATGACCTTCACGGGGCTTCGCTTTTGCTTGCTCATGGAGCTTATCCGAACCCGATTGATAAGTTCAATCGCACTCCACTAGACTATGTTCCCAGGGATACCGATCTGTATCGACTGCTGAACACCAGGACTTGTAAGTCGATTGTCACTTTAGGTATATCGTCTAGACCATGGTATCGTTTTAGGCTAAAGTAAGTTTGTCACGAACGCGTAAAATCCGTCTGGACTGAACACATCTGTTTACTGTTGTCACGGCTATAGAGTTAGCGATCACCCATCTAGTAGCAACAGCGTATTTGGTTCGAACTCTCTCTCTGTCTGTCTGTCTCTGGTGTTTTATCCTTACCAGATTATTAAAACTAATTTGGGGACACGAAGGCATCCCGACAACCTGGGGCCAATCAGTCAGTATGCCTTTCTTTTAAAAAATTACCCGGAACAATCGCTCCAACCAATAGACATAAGCTTTAGTGTCCTGTTGTAACACGGTCGCTATCTTTAGTAATACTGCGACATCTGACCTCATCACGCGATACGCGAATCCACGAACACCAGGCAGGATGTGTACTGACCACATCTTCACATTATATCAGGTGCTTGAGCATGGTCACGCATACCATCAGCCAACTGTCACCATTTTCCTTGACTTCAAAGGAGTCTTTAACTCAGTGGGTACGTTCGCTCTTTTGCATGTATTTGGTCAACGAGGTATATCCTCGAAGTTTTTGAATATCCTTCGTGCCATTCACTCCCGTTGTCCTTGTCGCGTTAGGGGGATAACGAGTTGTCTAAAAGTTATCGGTCATAAGTTCGTGGAGGACAGGCCACAACGCGGTCCTGCTAAACTAAAGTGGTTACTTTAAAGTTGGGCGTTGAGGGATCTTCGAGTCTTCCTGAGTTATTTTCGTTGCGCAGGACATGGGGGCGCGATGGGTCGGTGGTTAGAGCGCGAATTTACTGACCGGAGAGTTCGTGGTTCGAACCGGACCTCTGCATGTCGATTTCTATCTCTAGGCTTGGGCAACCTGGCAGTATCCCAACCCCCGTGCCTCCTTCGGGTGGGATGGCAGCTAGACAACGAAAGGATGTTACAGCTAAACGACTTCGATATCGCCGGACAAAGCACGCAGATCTTATCTATGAGCTTACTGCCACTCCTTAGCTAACGCTTGTCTGTCGTTGTGTGCAGGGCTGTGTTGGGTGAGATTGGCAAATGATTTAGGGTGAATCTCCCCAATGAAATCTTTCTCCAAAATTATACTTTATTTCAATCATCTCGAGATGTGTAGGTACCATGCTGTTAGTCGCCTTCTCTAAGGACGTGGGGTTTTTGCGGTAAACCTCACCTTTTGCTAGTTGAGGCCTCCTTGATTGTAGGATAATGATGATAAACTGCTCAGCAGTAGCTTGTGGATCAGTGGCTTCCATTTGGTTTTCCTGGTCGGTATTTCATCCCAAATTTCAGGTTCTCATTTGGAGTCCTAGCTTTTCCATCTCTACACAATCTGGTGGCGAGACTCCCATCTACAAAGGGTAAAACATCATCAGTCTTGCTTTCTGACACTACACTGACATTGTTAAGCTCCATCCTACCGTGAGAGAAGTACACCGTTATATTTATTGATGAACCCTCATCTCGTGCCTTTATAATCCGTGACATAGTATCTAACAGAATCACCTTTTACCATTTAAAAGCGTTCGTCGACAAACTATTTGCTCACCGTGGAATTAAGCTGAAGGTTAAGAAAGAATCACACTTGAGTCTGATAACTGCAGGCGTTATAGTTGGGAGGACAACAACCGATTTCGCATTGCTCACGCGTGAATCAGTGCGCGCACCACAACATTCGCGAATACACAGCGGCTTACCGTTAGTTCATTCTTTCATTTTCTAAAAAGTCCATCGAAAATCGTTCCAGTTATCTAAGAATTTGTGTTTCCTTTTTAATCCAAATTCATCGGTCTGTGATCTCTAAAGCGCCTCACATCCAAATTTATCTTGTTGCTGCTGGGTGTAGACCCATTCAACTGCGTCAAATAACCAAATAGTTACTTTGAAAACCACGTGAAATGCACTCACAAAGGATAGCCTCGACACGAGTCTGATAACACCAGACACTTCCTGAAATTGAATTTCAAGAATACATGTACTTCCAATTTGTTTGGTAAGGTACAAGGTCATCTGCTGACGGCATTTGTCTTCTCTGAATCCGCAATACCTTTCCGAGCCGAATCGTTTCAAACAATTACCTTTTGTCATTATCTGACTAATGGTTTTTTACCCTGATCGCCGATTGATTTTGTTCGATTTTTTCCCCCCAGCTCAAGTGCCCTCACTCCAATTCCTCGTCCGCCTGGCTTTCCGAAAAACAATCCAGGCTGCGGGGCCTGATCAACTGTCCAGTTTTTTATCTGATCGCCGATTGATTTTGTTCGATTTTTTCCCCCCAGCTCAAGTGCCCTCACTCCAATTCCTCGTCCGCCTGGCTTTCCGAAAAACAATCCAGGCTGCGGGGCCTGATCAACTGTCCAAACTGCGGTTGCCGTCCTTGCTTTATGATTACCTGACTTTTAACCGTTTGTGATCTTTTCTAGCTTTTCATATCTGGTTCTGATCTCCTCCTTTAATTTGTCATCATACCTTGTTGTGATCCGTTGTATCTTTGATTTTTCTGTTTGTTTGCAGTGTTCACCTTCTCTTAGCGTTTACCTTGACTATGTTTCTCTGGTTTTGCGACCGTTGTCTGTACACTTGCATCGTCTAATTTTATTTTTGTATTTTTGCTCACTTGTGAGTAGTTAAAACAAAATGACATTTTATCCGTTAGCATGCTTGCGTCAGTCCCTCCGGTGACCGGAAAATCTAGGAAACTTGGCCAAATCAGGTCAACAGGATATGAATGAAGTGCCAATTACGTGAACTGAGTGCGGACAAGTGAATACTTTTAGATTCTGAAAAAATGCTGTAAATTCCCCTCCCTCTCCCTGACCGCCGTTGGTCGGTCCGATCAAGTTACTGTCGTAACTATTTTGCATGGAAATAAGTGAGGATAATGTGTCCCCATATCCATTCCCTCCAAAGCTGAAGAGTGAACATAACCTTCCCACAATAACAGTTTGAAGTCTATCATGAAATGGTGGACTACAACATCCTGTTCATCATCCCGAGAACGATTCATTTAAAAGTTCCAACCTAGCTGGTGGACAGCATAACATTATAATCTACCGGCTTTCATAAGAAAACCCCTGTTCTCATGGGAAAGTGTGGTCGTTTCGCGTGTGCTTTCCTCTCCTGCAACCGTGGAAACAACCCGTCGAAAAATATAGCTCCAGATGAGCGGATACTTCAGAGCAATGACTGTTCTGGTGCTAATATGTTATTCTAAATCAGTAATACGTTGCGTACATGTTCCATCCTTACATTTTATAGCACACTGATGTGATTGGTAGAGTCAGTATTAAAGTCTAACTGTTTCTGCCATGAAAATGGGATATCATTCTCCGTGAGCCACAACAGGAATTCAATAGGAACTGAGAGCTGTCACCATAGTGGTGCCGTCACCGTACAGTGGTTCGATTCTCCATAGTCAGATGTGCATGGAACCATCTTGGGTGGGCTTTTTTCAGCATCTGGGTTACCGGAAGATTGATTTGCGAAGACAGACTAACGAGGTCGGGTTAGAACGCCAGGCCTACATCTCAGTAGGGAACAAAATTAAGCGAGTGCTTTAATAGATCACAGGTATTCCAGTGGTTGTATGAAGCACAATACTTGGGACTGACGTTCAGTTATCTGAAATGAATTGGGATGTTGTCATCGTTCATTCGAATTATCGATACACAAATTTCCTCCCTGAGAAGTCCCCAGTGGACGAAGCCTCTGTATTAAAGTCATTTTCATAATGCAGGAATTCTGCTTGCGATCCTCCGAAAACTGAACTGATTGGTATACTCTCAAAAGGGGACGTAGCGTCTACACGTATCTGCGATTAAACTGAATTTCTCTTTGGTTGTCTTAAAAAAGGGCTAGCATCATCGTCATTGTTACAGGGTTTTCATCTGAATATATGTCGATTTGATTTAAGATATCTGAGTGTGCTGATACTTCAGAACTCATAACAGGTTAAATGCGTATCAGAGGTAATGGAGACAGAAAATGTGACAATGGGACGTGTGACGATTCACTGGGTTTCTAGTGGCTGCAGTTGTTTTGGACAATTCTATGATGCACCATTTATTATCAGGAATCTTGCACGCAGTTGGATTTCCGTTAACTGGATGTGGATGTCGATGGCGGTTCATATTAATCCCCCCGTTGGGGAGGTAATTGGAGGAGGTGGCTCCTAGTTGCAAGAATACAGAGTTGCTCTTGGTATGCGAGAGCTTGCAAGAAGGTGGTTGGTCGTCTGGCGAAGAGTTGTTTGCATCCCTTGAAATGGTTCTCTTAAAGAAACTTATTTCCAGGAGCAGTGTTGTCTGCTAGCCCTGGTAAAGGGGGGTTAACTGTGCTTATGTCAAGTTCAAATATAACGGCGTTGGATGGCTACAGGAAACCAGGTAGTTAGCACCCGACTAATCGTTTTTGGTTATCCTACAGGGTGCTGTACACACCTGAGTACGGTTCGATCTGTTCATTACAGCATTATGTTTGTCGGGTGCTATCGCTGTACACAGTTGTGGGTGTTGGTCAGTGATAGCCTTGTTTGCTAATCGCCGTGCAAACTCTATAAGCCTCACGATATCGAACGTTCGTAGCGATGTCCCAGTACGTTCACAGTAAGGAGAAAAAACAACCAATATTTGTACACATTAGTTTGGTGGTAACTCCTTGACGGCACAGCACTGGTTTCGCCCGTCTTGCCTCGATTAATCGAATATCGTGCGAACTGAAACATGAGGCGGTTTTTGCACTCAGTTAAAGAATAGACTAAACGAGGTTCGGTTGAACCGACTGTTAGCGCCACAGTAACTTGCAGCAGCTTTGGTCTGCTTACTTGGCGACTCTCGAAACCTCGTGTGACAGGATCGAGTGCAATATCGACCCGGCCGATCAAAGATGAAATAAGAAACAACTGGCTCTGCATCCGGCAGCTTTGGTACCGGTAAAATCCAGCGATGACTCATCATCAAAAACCGGGACCACGTTTTCCACCATTACAGCTCGGAATCTCCTACCGCGAGAACACACTCGAACTAAAGAGTGGTGATGAATGAACAGCATGAGCAATCTTTACCCGAGTGAATTTTACAGTTTCCGTTTATTCGTTCACGACATCCGGCCTTCCGTTAAAATTTAACACAACTACCGATTACTAAACCTTCCATCCTTTTTTATGTAAGATCTTACTTTATCTTGAGCAAGTCAGTTACTCATATCTGTGATTATCTAGCCGCATTCGTTGGGGATATGGAGCGAAATTCTGCTTATGGGCTCGAAAGCTTGCGATCCGAAAGAGTGCTTTTAAAAATAATGCGAATTCGGTCTTTCCTGAGGGTACATAGTCTTCGGAAGAGCACTGTANTTTCCTGAGGGTACATAGTCTTCGGGAGAGCACGGTATTCCCTGACTTCTCGTTATTATTGGATCACAGTGGAGTAAATTTGGTAGGCATCTAACTTATTAGGACAATATCTCACTATTCGAACACCCAAGTGAGCTGACCGCCGACTTCAGTTAACTCGGATACTATTAGTGATTCCGAGTCACTGAAAACACAAACAGAACCTTTAGTTGCTCTTTGCTGATGCGATAGCTAATGAGTTTCTGTGCTTTGGTTGACGCCAACTAAGCACGCGACACTACCTATTTCACGTGGTGTCTATAGCTCAGTGTGACTAACGGTCTCGGTCCATAATGGCAAGTATAGAATGCCTCCCCTTACGTGAATTTACTAGAACGGATCGAGGGCCAATGCAGAATTATGCAAGGAAACCCCATTCAGAACAACATACCACAGAAGGCGGGCAAGGTGTCAGCTCAGTGAATGGCATGAAAGTGCTGTTAGCTAGATCCAACTATGATGTTGGAGACCCTCCATACAACCGGGCGGAGATATATGATAGATGCTAATGACTTTCGTGCTGTAATCTGCCTGGAATTCATGATCAGCGGTCTCAAGTTTAGGGACGCCCGGTGTGTTATAGACTAGCAATGGTCTGGTCTCCATTATTTTCGATAAATAAATTTGTAAGATTATGACACAGTGCCGTTGTTGCCAGGTCTAGTATTAACGGCGGTGAATACGTCGCTGCAGCAGTCAGTCAGGATTCGCAAGCTCAGTTAACACATTTACAGTCCTTTTTTCTCTCGGAAGTATCCTGTCATTAAGAGTACGCATGTGTCTTGACCACCAATATCTGTTGGTTCCGCAGAAACCCAACCTGAATGGGAATATAAGTGCTACACAGTTCTAAAGTTTTAACTAAAACAATGAGACTGGGCGGATTCTACTGAGCACTAAAGAGAGTCACCCGGGGATAATATCCCGGGACTGGTGTTGTTCGGAACACTTGGATATGAGGAAGATTTTTCAGCAATGCAGAAAAAGTAGCCCTTTAAAGTTGGGCACGAGGAAAAAATGGGCCCGGTTATGGCTACCAAGGCAAGCATGAGGTCAAGCTTCATTGCATAATTAAGCATATAGCAAATGAATATTAATTTCTCAGGATTACCCACATAGTCCAATCTCCGATTGGGCCTGTTGTCGCTGTCCCGAACGGCTGCATTTATAGCTCACGTGTGTTACACACATTACGATAGAGAGGATTTCCCGAATTGTACTACTTAGCAATATTCCAGAGCTGTCTAAAGTTTTAAAGAAAAAACTTCAGGATCAATGTTTAAGTATAAGGAAGGATATGGACCTCCGCTCCAACAGTCAACGTACAGAACACTTGTCAGTCGAAGGCTGGAATCAGGAATAAACATGAAGAAACTTATGATTTTCTCAGGAAGTCTGTAAATTCCAGAAGAGTCGTATGCAATTTCCAAAAAAATGGGCTCAGTACAAATGCATGTATGTAGCCTCCGGGTAAGTGGTTCTGTCAGCGGCGTCTTGGTAATCCAATTTACTAATAAGGCATAACAACAACAATGTCGGTATAAGTGAACTGTACTCAATACTGGTCAGTTAGTAAATGATATAGAAAATTCTTTTGCCGTTTTCCCTCGGGTACAATTCATCCTAAACTGGGCTGAAATACTATTGTTTTCTGTTTAAATCAATCTTGTATGCGCATCTAAGGGGAATGTCATGAAACAAGACAGTCAAGAAGGGCGAAACCGGTCGTGGGTTGTCGAAAAGTTTTCGGCAACCTTGCGATGTCATGAACAAAAACAGTCAGAAGGGCGAAACCGGTCGTGGGTTGTCGAAAAGTTTTCGGCAACCTTGCGAATGGTTTCCTTAATCCAAAAGATAATCGCTAGTATTGAACTCCTTTTCCTCTCCTTAACCACGTGGATTACTACTGCAACGAATAGAAGGGCGTTCACACCACCAAAGTTCCGCTTTTCTGCACAGGTCAAGCATCATTGGATTTAGTGGATCGGAATGGGGGCGGTACTAAAAAAAGGAGGGCATTCTCCATTATCCTATCGTGATACCAAAGATGACAGCAGCGGCATAGCTTAGCATCAGGCAGACTTCTGTGGAGAAGACGTCCCCATTTGCTCACAACGCGCTTTGGATTCCAAAAAAATTCGGTAGAGTGTGTGCAGGGTACGGTTCTCTTGGAGTGCAAAACAAACTAAATAAAAAATACTCTTGGTCAGCAAGTACGCTCATATAAGTGGAAGATGGATGGCCCTCCGTGTTGTTTGCCAATAACTGCAT